TGGGGTGTGAGACCGGGAAGAGGCCTGATTGGTGCACAGCACGGGCTCAATTGTGATTGGTTGTTTGGAATGGATACAGGAAATTAGGGATAGGACAGTAATTCAGTGCTGAGTAGACAATCTTTCTGATTAGTCGTCATCTAGCTCTATTTCATGACCTCAATCACCCACTCTGACATCCTAAATCATCCAAAATGATCCTCAATCATCCCAAATTTTCATCAATTGTCAATCATCTATGTATTCCCATTATAAGGGACGCTGGGCCCGGTTCCCAGCACGTGATGCTCCCCACGAATAGATTGGAGCATTTTCTTTTAAAAAAAAACAAAACAAAAACCAGACATTTCGGGAAAAACAAAAACAAAAAACAATCCTACCAGAGGTCTGAGGGACTTGCTACCGAGGAAGAGACGATCTAGCCAGACTCCTGACTCGTACAACACACAGCAGGGTATACCCCGCTCTCAAGGTGCACCTTCTGGTCTGCAGTCCTGTCAAAATCGGGACCAGCCAGACTTTCCCCAAGACATGTTGACTGAACCTTCCTCCCAGCAACTGCAACACAGTATTGACATAGGCAAGGCATCACAAGCTGAGGTGGCAACGGAAAGAGAACATCCATAGGCAACTCTCTGCGCCCACAGAACAAGAACCAACCCTCTCCCCTCAATCCACTAGTTTCTCACAACATCTGCAGTCTGACCAACAGCAAAGCCCTCTTCTCTAAATTGGGATGACAGACGAACCACCCCAACAACCACAAACATCAAGACACCCACCCGCTGTTCCACATCAGTCATCTAACAACCAATACCAGGGCTTACTTCAGCATAGTGCTGCCCTCACAGACGAGCAGCGTTAACTGTTTCATATGCTAGCGGAACGAGAGCTAAATAGTATGATCCACTAGCAACAACGAAGTCTGATCTCAAAGGTCCACCACCCAGGCCTGGGTCCTCCAAATGAGGGACCACCATGCAGTTACATGCCCGATCGCCTTGAAGCCTCCCCAACCTTGCAGCACCCTTGCCCACAAATTCCTCTAACTGAACTCGAAGGGCAGTATCCAACCACCCCCCATGCCCCTACAACGGCTACAGGTAAGGGTACATCAAGCACCATAAGCTATTCGTGGGAGCAATTAAAAAAGAAAAAAAAAAGAAAAAAAGAAAAAGAAAAAGAAAAAGAAAAAGAAAAAGAAAAGAAACACCGCAAGCTGCACCCAATAATGAACCGCCCCCATGCCCTCGCAACAGTTACAGGTAAGGGTAAATCAAACACTGCGAGCTGCACACAATAATCAAACTGTCCAAATCCCCCTCCAGCTCCTGAAGCAGAACACACCGTACCTCCCCGTCCCCTCATTTCCTGCACAACATGCCAATTTCCGGAGCCCCCCAAATGAGCAAGACCAACGCTCACCTATCCCTCAACTCATGAGGCAACTACAGGCCTGGGAAGAGCAACAACAGCATGCAGCTGCGAATAACCAACCCTTTCGTATCCTCTACCAAACTCTTAACCATGAAAATATCCACACCCACCTCCCATCAGGAGTCGACGGCGCACGCATTCTCGTGCCAGATGCGGGACGCTTTTTAGCTGCTGATGAGAATAAGGTAAGAGAAGGAGACCCGGAAAATGGGAAGGAAAAAGCAGAAAAGGACATGGACAATGTGAGAGGAGGAGACTTGGCCAGCAACCGGCTAAAGGGGGAGATGGTGGGAGAAGGGAGCAAGAACAATGAAAAAGAAAAGAGGAAAGTCAGGGGACGACCTGTCTCTTATACACATCTAGATTTTTTCTCTCTCTCTCTCTCTCTCTCTCTCTCTCTCTTGGGGTGCATCCACACATAGGTGTGTGATGTCCAGAGCCTATCACGTGGACTCTGCTGGTGTTGAGTCTATTGACCCTCGGAACATGGTGTTAGTATCTTGGAACTGTCAATGTCACAGATCAGACGCTTTCTCATGTTTTTTTTTTATATATTTTTTCGCATTCTGATAAACTGCTGGTGGGGCTGGGGGAGAACTTTCTGAAACACACATTGTCGACTATAAGCATCCTCCAGGCTGTATTTTGATTTTGTTTATCTGGCTGAGTAATTCAATGTTCGATGGTTGTGGCGTACATCAATCACAGTATGCTGTGAGGGGTCTGCAGTTTCTGCATGGGGTGATTTGTCATGCGATTTTCTCGTTTGCCTGTTGATCTGAAGAGCGCGACAGCTTGCTATATATGCGTAGACTTGAGAATATCTAGTCTCCGCAAACATGCTGTGTTGGAGAAGACCAGGACTTTAGGTATTATTAGCAACATTTTGTTCTTACACTTAAAGAAATCTCTAATGCGAGAGATCCGGCATCCTGGCCATCCGCGGTCCCACTGGACCAACGGCCCAGATCGTTGCACGATCTTAAGATTTTTGGATCGTGCGGCGATCCAGGCCGTCCGCAGTCCTACCGGGCCACGGCCAGGATCGACGCGCGATCTTAAGATTTTAAGATCGGGCTACGATCTGGGCCATCGGCCCGGGACCGTTTGGCCAATGGCCCAGGTTAGAAGTTCACAGCTCCAGGGAAGTTAGGGGTGCCAGGGCCGGGGGAAAACCGGTTCCAGGCGCGCCGGTCCCCTATTGGGTGCAGTGGTTCGGCCCTTTTCCCGCACATATCTTTGGTGGCATGTAGTGGGAGGACATGCACGCAGTGTATAGCAGCGCATAGCTGATGAGACAACAGGCACTCACATCGACGAGAGAACACACACTCACATCGACACCCACCCGCCTGCCGGCGCAAGCACACGCACAGATGCACGCACACGCACAAACGCACACACACACACACACACATGCATGCAAATGCATTGTGGGCAGACTGTCGGGGTTCAACCTGCTGATGAGTTGGGGAAAGTCCAATGAAACAGTCTGGCACAGTCATGCTTTCTCTTTCTTTTCATTTCATTGTGCTTGTGTGTGTGTGTGTGTGTGTGTGTGTGTGTGTGTGTGTGTGTGTGTGTGTGTGT